ACATGCTGCCCATGCTGCGGGGAAGTGCAAGAGAATCAACCTCCATCCCTGAGTCACACAGCATCGCAGCATCCCCACACCATGCCCAGCCCAGTGAGACAATTCTCACAGGGACTGGCATGGCATGGCATGGGATGTCCATCCTCCACCTACTCTAGCATAAGCATTTCTGCTGCTGTTTCTGCTGCAACTCTTTAAAGTTCTGTCCGACTGGTTACTGACGTGCCTGAGAATGTGACCCAGCTGCACATATTTTTAGGCTTAACTTTGTATTTGCGCAGAGGCAGAACACAAGTATGCTGGTTTCAGGCTCCCAGCCTCAACAGGGAGCATGAGAGGAGCTATTTTGGTATGGAAAGGGCAGCTCCACGGTTTTTCTCTGCCTCAGAGTACAAGCGGCATTGAACTCTTCCCAAGACAGAACTTGCTTTTGCACTTTGGAAGAGGCAGCCATGGTAATCCTGGAGCCGCATGCTGGGAATCCAGGCACAGACAGCCTCAGCATCCATGGAGATGCCATCACTAAACTCGGCCTCTTTCAGCTCTCTAATCTCATCAACATTCCTCAGTAGCTCCCCTAAAGAAGGATCTGTTACCACAGCCTGTAGGTTCCCACACAGGCCATACCAAGGCAGACTGTTTGCTGAGCACAGGCAAAGAGGGAGGCGGAGGGGGATTTTCAACTTACAATGTTATTCTTGTCTTGAAAGCACATCTGCCTAAGAGACAGAAGCCCCGGCAAAGGACTGGCAGCTGTGCAACTCCCCTGTTGTGAGCTGCAGCATGGAGGGGGACAAAGTGGCACTGCTGAACCTGTGGGCACTGATCTATGCAACATTGCAGGCTGTGGTAGATACTGCAGCTCTCAGCAGCAGTGCATCTTCCTGGGCCACAAAGGACAGAAAAGTCCTCTCCAGCAGCGTTCCAAGATGGCAATGATCATGTGCAAGGCACAGTGCCAGGCCTGGGCCTCCCCCTTGGGCCGCTGGCACAGATGCCTGTACCAGAAACAGGCAGCTCTACTCTGCACCGGGTTCTGCATCAGCAAAAGATGCACCATGCAGATAAATGGCCTCAGGTCACATCACTGCTCTGCCTGCCTGCACTTAGAGGCCACAGACACAGAAGGCTGACAGAGCCTCCCAGCATAAAGGGAGTGTGAACCAAAAGCAAGGAACTGAGCCCAGGCTGCCATGCACAGAGTAGCTTCCTCCCCATTATTTTTGGAAACAAAACAAAAACCCCACTTAGGTACAGGGCAAAGCCTCAGGCCTGCCAGCACTGATGCTGTAGCACCCTGGCCTTGCTGAGGCATTGGGCAGCAGCACTGCCTGAGCCCTTCTTTCCTCCTGCTGGTACCCAGCCCAGGGAAAGGGGCTCTGTGGGGTTGCCAGTGTGGCAGGCGGCAACGTTGGGCCAGTCCGGAGGTGTGGGCAGCAAGTCCACTGGCAATGCCCGAGTCACCACAGGAATGCACTGAGGCGCAACACCTCCCAGAGCAGGACAGACCCATGGACACTCCCTGATCCCATGGGCAACACAGCTATCGCATCGCTGAGGGAAACCTACCTGCCTAGTGCATACCTGGTGGTAACTGACTCCCTTTCACACCTCTGAAGCATGGAAATGAAACCCGCCTACTCTTTGTTGCTAGTGATCACAAAACCATCTGTCTTTCCTCCACCTGGCCGCAAGGAAGAAAGCTCTTCCTGACGGGTCTGGGGCACCGGCACTGCGGGTCTGGGAGGCACCCAGCCCTTTGGGAACAGCACTCCCAAGCCATCAGGCATCCCGTCGAACAGGAGTTTCCTCCCGCCACAAGATACCGCTGCCATGCAGAGGAGTTGTTTCTGTGCCGAGCACATTCAGCCAACAGACAGCAAAAAAAGAATTTGCCAGAATGGGAGCACGAAGAGCAGCAAAGCACCGTGTCCTCCGTAAGGCTCACGAGCAGAGGTGCCAGACCACGGCAGCTTGCTGGAGTCAGAGCCCTGTCCACCCAGTACGGCAGGCAGGCTCCACACCTCTTCCCTCACACACAACAATGTCAAACTGTGTTTTAATGGAGGCTTTAGAAAACAGCATGTTAGCACAGGCTTTCAGGGGGACGGGAGGGACTGGACATCCCTCCTGTGCTATAAAATGACACCTGAAGCAATTTCATTCTCACAGTGTGCCCAGAGCTGGGACTAACTTAAAAAGAAACAAGCATGAAATGCAACCAGCACCTGCAGATAACAGGCAAGGGGTCAAGCTCAAACTTGGTTCACTTTTCTCCCCAGTAGGTTCCTAGATCTGAGGCACTTCAGACGGTGCAGAGTCCTCACATTTGCCCTGTCTGAGCGGCACAGATTTCATCCTCATGGCAGATTTTCAGTGCTGGAAACTCTGGAGAGTCATCCTCCAGCCTCGGAGAAACTAATCAACGGACAAAGGGTTAAAAGACATTTAAAGGAAATCAGAGGTCCCAATACAATTTGGGAGCCTTTCGGTTTTCCATCACTTCTGTCCATCCTATGGCAATATTTCTCTAACTAGAATTACTGCCTGCCTGCCAGCTGCTAATGCCATAGCCTGCATTCGCCACTTAGCAGGAGGGGCAAATTCAGTCTGAAAGGCTGCATTTTCCAACGCACTTATATCAGCCAGTACTACAAGCCCCGGGGAGCAGGCAACATCCCAGTTTGTACAGAGATTATCGATGGGACTTGTGAGCAGCCAGGTAGGCTGTGGCCACGCTGAGTCGCAATAAAGGGAGTTTTCCAGGCAGACTGCTCTTGCCCCAACACCCATTGCTGAAAGATGCTCAGCTCACCCTGCGCAGCTTCCAGAGTCTCCAACCACTTTCACAACTAACTATGGGGCGGGGGGGAACTAAAAAAGAAAAATAATAATAATAAAAAAAATCAATAGTCATCTCTGTTCAGGTCTCTTTTCTGATTTCTGAAGGAGACCTTCAGTTCCCATTACTTATCTAAGAGATGGCGAGTGTTTAAAATATAAAGGGTGATCTTGACAGGAGGACGGGAGCAGTTTCTCAGCACCTCCCTTCCTACTCTTGCTGGGATGGAATTTATCATGAACAATAAGTCCCTGCGCGCGAAGCTGCTTAAAACAGACAGGAGGTAGCACAGAGACAAGGGAAAGTGCACCCCAGTGCCTGTCATTCTGCATGAGGAGGGCAATTAGCCACTCTCAATCCCTTCAGCTCAGCTGGTTCAATTCACTATTGTGCAAAACTTCTTTTACCAAAGCTCCTGTTTACAAGTGTCTCTGAAGGGTAGTGGAAACTCAACAGCAACTTGCAGTCTACAGCTAAAAATATCAGTTTGATTACTAGGGAAAATTGGTGTGTATTGCTTTGCAGGACTGTTTGTTGAAGAACTAGCTCCTGTGTATTTCAAATCAAAGCTGCAACAGAAGGGAATTTATCTGGAAAACTATCTAGCGAACTCTATCTACATCAAAGCTGTTAAAAAGGTCCTATATTTTTCATAAGGAGAAGGGAGAAAGAATTGAAGTCCATTTCCTCTTGACTATAAACATTAGACAAACTTATATCTTTGGTTGAAAAGGATAAAAAATTAACGCATGACAGCATCAGATGCAGGCATCAGATATATACACAGAGCTTTAAAGACTTTTTATCATGTCCTTTTCTTTTAACGTTTGTAAGATCGAAGCCAAACATTCTGGAGAATTCCTAAAAAGCCAACAATGCATCAAATGTGCTCCCGCACCCTCAAAAGGTGAAGTTTCTCATGTCAAATACAGACTCTCAGAGCAAAGCCGTTCAGTGCCTAACAAAGATACTCCACCCAGTCCCTTTTTGCAGGCTGCAGAAGTCCACGGTTTGGAAACCCCCACAGCCACAGGGGTGACCAAGCTGCGGGTGTACGCACAAGCACACCCAGGTGACAGGAGAGGTTGGCCAACCCCTCACTCCCAGTACACCTCGATCTGGACTCACCCTGCTGGAGCAGCTCCAGGGAAACCTCTGCAGGGAAGGCCCCCGGGTCGACCAGGATGGCTTCGCCGTTACCACTTCTGAGGGACTTCACGCAGACACATCAGCCTGGCACCATCCACCGTGCAGTGACTTCCACGGTGTAGCTCCCATTCTGTCCTTCAAGCACAGCTCCCAGTCAGCTGCTGAGAGCCAACGCTTCATTCACAGCTCCAGCACCAAGAGCTGCCCTAACAGCCAGCATCCTTGTGGCTCACATCACAGCACACATCGTGCGGGCAAAGCAAAAGACCCCTTTTTGTCTCAGGGAACAAAAAGCAGCAAAAGCAACGTCTCCTGGGTCAGGAAGCTCCAGAGCGGACTCGATAAACATATTTTACACATTAGAGCTAGTCCAAGACTCAGTAAAGCCACTACTGTAGGTAGAGCTGTGCTGATGCTACAGCTGTAATTTGATGGATGTAAAATTACAGCAAGGAATCAGAGCGTACAAGAGCAAAGAAAGTCCTAGGTCTTCCTCCTAGGTCATGTTTTAATTTACTATTGCTCTTGGACATCAAGAGGACTTCATCTGCCATAAGGACTCCAGAAATTATGGGGAAAGAGCATCAGCAAGCCTGTGATGTACGTACACCGACAGAGCACAGCATTCAGCTGCACCATGTGTACACAGCGGTCCAAAAAGGCTGTCAGAGGTAAATTAAAAGGTGCACATGAACTTTGCTGAATGCCAATATTTTGATTAGCTCTGCATCAAGCATGTCACTTGCAATTTGCGCCTCCACAGAAAGACAGCATGAAGTTTGGGAAGGGTCTCGGTGGGCTGCGACAGGGGTGCCTACAGCTTCATGCAGAATCACAGCTGAGGACACAAAGAGGCAAAACCAAACCAAAAAAACCCCAAAGGACCCCGGACGCGCTCTCGCAGAGAGCGATGAAAGGACAGCGCATTCCCTCAGCGCATTCCTCTCCAAGGTGAGGTCTCCCTCCCCGACCCGCGCCTCGCCTCTTCCCCGCTCCTCCCCGGCCTCACCTCGCAGCCCGGCGCTGGTCCGCTCGATGCTCGGCCGCGTCCCTACCCGGGCACGGATGGCGCCGCTGCCACGCGAAGGCGGCACCAGAGCCGGAGCTGGGAGCCCGCACCGCGGGCTGCAGGAGAAGAGACCGGAACGCCCGGCGCGGCGATACCGGGCAGTCACCCCGGAGCGGCGGCGGGGCTGCCCGGCCCCGGCCCGGGACCCCGCCGGGAGCTCGCAGGCTGCTGGACCGCGGGGCGCAGC